TTCTGAAAAAAAAAAAAAAAAAAAAGATAGACTATTTATAGCTTCTAAGTTCTAACCTTTCTACGTAAGTCTGCCGGAAGGCCCGGAACCGTTTGTCAAAGGATGGCGATCCTGTCTTTTTGGTCCTGGAGTGGTCAAGGCGTCAAAGGGTTTTTTTTTTTTTTTTGGAATAAACCTGCCAGCATTGATTACTTTGGATTCCAGAGGATTAACTGAGCAGGTTTTGCCGAAGTCCCCAGCATGGAGACACAAATTGTCTTTTTAGGAAAGTCTCTAACTGCCTACCAGGTATTTACCTGACTCTAAGTAACACCGTAGATAGCCTCTCAACAGGTGTTAGGTGGATCGGCCAAGTGGGAGGGGGGGGGATGAGGCGGCAGGTTCTGCGTCAAGGGGGCGACTGGGGCAGACAACCTGATCCTCCTATTCCCTTTCCCCATCCGGACTGGTCCCCCCAGGATTGTGCTGGGGGGGTTCCACTGTGTCTCGGCCATACCTGCTCAGCTCAACGAAGGTATTATTTGGTGGAGGGAATAGGTCAGGGAAATTGGGGAAGGGGGGGAGTGGTATGTCGCTGGGGATTTCAGTCCATTTATGAAAGAGCAAACGATAGACTAAGTCCTTCTGTGATGTTTCCAGCCGATCATTTCCATCCGATTGACAGCCATCCCATTGTATCCATGCAATCCATCCTCTCCGTTCCCCCCCCCAACCAGTCCATGCAGAATTCGTGTAGTTTCTGAATAATATCTGATCTTTTTGTGAGAGCTTTCATCCCTTGTGCTGTCTTTTTCCACTGGGCTCTGATTGCGGTTTCAATCATGCCTTTAATCATTTCCGTTATTTCCCCACTTCCCACGCGGGCACCTTTAAGTGCTAAAAATGCATCTGCGATGCCATATAGCCCATAACACTGCTTCCTTCCCAATCCGAAATAAGTTGGCTGTGAAGGTTGAGGTTTGGGCCGACCAATGACCAGTTAGCGAGCTGCTTCAGCCCAATCTAGGGTGCATCTGCGCTTGTAGAAATTGCCGTGCTGCTTTTATGGCCTTTTCGAACTTGGCACGTGAGTGACCTGTGGGTACGTGTTTTTTTTCCCTATTCGAAACTCGCTTTCGTTTGCGGCTCGAAAGGAAAATTTGGAAATGAAGACAACTTAATAGTAGATGAATTAATTCCATCTTTTGTGCGAATTGTGCACATACACATGCCTGTGGAAAAGAAAGAAAGAAAGTTCCAAAATTGGGAAAGAAAGTTCCAAATTTGGGACAGAAAGTTCCAAATTTGGGACAGAAAGTTCCAAATTTGGGACAGAAAGCTCCAAAATTGGGACAGAAAGTTCCAAAATTGGGACAGAAAGTTACCCCATAAATTCTCTGGTCCCAGAGGTTAGAGGCTTAGAGCTGAGAGAGTCGGCCAGCTGTACGCATGGGCCGTGTCTCTTGTCTTAAAACACCCAATTTGAAACTGAGGGTCTCGCCACACAGCATACTAAACAGCAAAAAGATGAGTGCATGTTCCCCAAGAAGCTGGAAAGATACACATGTTTCTATTCATGCTAATGAATGTATCTTGCCTTCTTCTATGGGAAAATGCACTCTCCCCCCACCCGTGTTTCGTGTATTGTCTGGCAAGGTGGCGAATCCCTTTTTGCAACGAATCGCTGGGCGTGGGCCCTTTCCCATAGACAGAAAGACGACACGGAGCTGCCAGTTTGAGATTGGTTGTACAATGGACCAACCGAGAGACCCGAGGCCTTGCGATGATCATGCCGGGCGCAGAAACGGGTTGGGAGTAAACTATTGCAGCCACAATAATGGGTTGGTAGTTATGCCACAGTTGTGGTGGATTGCGTTGAAAGTTGAAACCAATTACTCCCTTTGCCAGCAAGCATGTACCTGCATGCATATCCGACTAATCACACACACACACACACCTGTCTCTTATACACATCTAGATGTGTATAAGAGACAGAACTGTGGGCATACAACACACATGGAAGGAAAGGATCATATCTGTAAATGGAAAATGAATTCAAATGAGGGAAAAACTTTCAAAAACAAAAACAAAAACAAAAAAAAAACTGCATCTGAGTCATGGTTTGAGTTTCAGGTAGGCAACAAAAAAAAAAAAAAAAACACTACATGAAATTTTATCGTGGCGGCAGTTTGGAATGAGCAAAAAATAGTTCAAAATACGCAAAAACAGCCAGTTTTTATATGTCGTTTCCGTACTCCGGCCCTCCGCACACCATGAGGTAAGAGGTGCACCCACACACACGAGCGCACTGAATGTAGTCCATACAATCATAGTAAGTACATCGATGCAGAAGATCGGCAGCGAGTCAGTCCATACGATCATGAACACTGAGCACCCACACACACGAGCGCACTGAATGTAGTAGTCATCTGGGCCGAGGTCCCACTAGCAAAGAGGATAGGATCAAGCTCCTGAATCTGAATGCGTTTTATGCAGAGATGGAGAAAAGCAGTTCAATCTCGATTTCCTGCACCTCTCCACAAACCTGTCCAGATTCAGACATTCGATCTGGTCCTCTTTGCTAGTGGGACCACGCCCCTGTTCACAACTCAAATAAAATGTTAGGCTTCGGAGAAAAATACAGCAAGACAAGACAAAAAAAACATGAGTCGAAGCATCATGCAGAGCTCCTTTCGGATCTGCACTCTCTTTTTTTTTTTTTTTTTTTTTGCACTCTGGCCGTTTCCAGATGCCGCGGTTCAACCAGTGCCAGAGAACTGGCCATCCTGAGGGG